GTGAACCCTTTTTCTCAATGACAGTACTGAAACAACACCTGAGACGTCTGGATAGTTAGATGAGAACTCTCATATTTGTCAGTAACAGATGGCTGCAGCCAGCTTAGGTTCTGGCAAAGCCTCGAAACAGGGACGCAGCTTTGTTCTGTCTCACTAAAGCTCACTGGTTAATACGTGTTTATACTTTATGTATGGATTAAACGAGTGGGATGTAGTTGGCTAATTAGAGGCGATACATGCCTGGTTTGGTTTGGACGGAGCCACACTGGCTGTTTCAGCTTCATAATTAATAGACGGAAACAACAGCGGTGTCATTGTTTTCAAGTAAAAAGTAAATGAACAGCTTTCCACAACTGTTAACTCGATGGATTTAAGGTTGTGTGTCACAGAGTTGTGCTTGTGTTTAATTCACTTCGATATGTGAGACAAATTTATGAAAAAATTAACCCCCGACACACAAGTTTGACCCAATTTCTGCATCAATCAATATTTCCTCCTTTGTTTTTCTGACTGCATGAACACACACAGATCTCACTTATCTGATTCAAAACAAACCAAGTGTCTTAACTCAGCTGGGTTAATTAAAAGGGCTTTTATGTGTATTTACACACCAGATTTACTTGAAACCCCAGCTATCACAATTTATACTGAAGGACAGGACTATATATTACAGCAAAACATATTCTGCAGCATGTAAAAGTTTCTTTAAGTGTGCAATGTCAAAGCAAGCTCAGTGTTTAGTGGATACTAGCAGCATCTTCCACATAATCAAATTAAAGTCAGACATGTTTGACTAAAAGGTCTGCAGCAGCCGTCTTCGTCTGAAGCAGACCCCTCTTGCTTTTTTCCTAGTAAAATATCTGGTCATCTGAGCGTCTCTAACCAAACTGTCACAGATGATTAGAGGAGGAACAACTCGTCTTGGTCTCCCAAAGAGCATGGGGTCCTCACGAGAGAGTGAGCCACAACTAGAATCAATGTCACCGTTCAGATAATCATGCATTGCCGATTCACCATGTAAGATGCATTTTGTTTGCTGCCTAACTGTGTAAAGCCTCTATTCATTTCCAGATTTTTCCGCAGAAAAAAAACGTGGTCAACTCCATAATGATGTTTTCCTCTTGAAATTCCTGCCCTGCTTGTTGAGAAGAAAGTGTTTTGTGCTGCGTCGTCGGTCTGGTTGCTGAACTTAATTCTGTGACAAGCCAAGCTGGCAAAATGTTCAAATCTTTTTAAACTAATAAGCTTGTAATCTTGTTATTCTTTCCTATTAAAGACGTGTGAGTTTGATGTGTTACTTGGATGCATCAGGTCAATCAGATTTGTTTTAAGTCGTTCTGGAAACTAAAGCATTTTAACTATTTTTCATGTTTTACTTGTAAAATGATAAAATAATTTGAACTAGGGACGCCGCCACAGCTCACCTGGTGGAGCTGGCGTCCCGTGTGCAGGGCTCCAGTCCCCATATGGAGGTCATGAGTTCGAATCCCGCTCATGGTCCTGTCCCACATGTCCTTCCTCCACTTTCCTGTCTCTCTCTCTCACTGCACTATCAAATAAAGGCCAAAAAAATAACTTTTAAAAATAATAAAATAATGTGAAATGTGCAGCTGCAGGGCTGTAAAAGAACACATCATGTTTAAAGTGACAATCCTGTAAATGTCCTTCCACGAAAACAGACGCGTTTGTGGAAAATTAAATGAAATATTCCTACAAACACCTATTTTACTGAAGTTCTTGTGCGGCGTCTCTTTGATGTGTTTGTGATCAGCTATAAGTCATTACTGGCTGTGTGTATGAAGAGTCACGCAGACACACTGGGGTATTTTCAGAATCACAAACAAAGGCCCATCTCTTTTGTGTGCCTCCAGTGACCTCTCCTCGCAGAAAACCATGTGTTCGTCACACACACACAAACAAAAAAACAAGCTTTACACAAGAGTGTGAAATCACCATGTTCCAAGGCTGGGAGTGGCGGCGGCGGCGGCGGTGGTGGTGGGGGGAGGCGGTGTGGCTCCCAGTGGGCAGGAATCTCTCTGCACTCGGACAACATCCGGCAAAGCAATGACCCCTGAATCCATGATCACCCTCAGGAAATCAGTGTCTCATCTCTGCCGGGGTCAACGGTGGAAACTGATTTGAAGCTCGATGCGTTGCTGGTGACACATGTAGAGTAGGAATTACAGGCAGGACGACGTGGAGGATCGCATGAATGATAACGCTGCTGCAACCAGAGAGGTGACAGATAATCATATTTGCAGCAACCTCAAATGAAACAGCTGCTTTTGTCATTTATTTTCATGCCTACAGTATACAGCCTATTTGCACCAGATCCATTAACGACATCTAGAAAATGAATTATTCATTTATTTGAGGCACTGCGTTGAGGTTCATTTGAGCACACATCTCAGGCATTCAGTGCTGAATAAATACCACTATTATACACTAATAACCCTCTAAAATCTGTTTAACATGTAGCTAAAAGCAGCAGTAAGTGGTACATGAGCATACAAGTAGGCTGCGTAAATACAAGACGTGGTCACATTTGTTTTATATATTTCAATTACATGCTGCCTCGTAGGCTATTTCTACTCCACCGCATTAAAAATAATATTGTCTATTACACAAATACGCTCCTTCACTTTATTTACTGGACAGCTGTAGCTCTTAGAAACAAAATACAAGATGAGTTAATAAAATATAACAACCAGACTGAATGTGCAGTGGTTTAAATCCACCTGAACCAAAAAAAGAAACTAGAACGCTGCTCAAATGTTCACGCGTCAATAACATTATCCTAAAGATGCATTTAAAAATTACACTTTTACTGCTGATACCGACATTTGGCAGATTTTTGCCTCGGTGAGGATTTAAAGGTGGCAACAATCCAGTTTCTGTCAGATTCATCCAGCTGTCCGTCCTGAGCTGTGTTTGTACACCGGCCTGCCTCTTCAACCGGAAACAACGAGGGAACTGACTGCGTATTAAAGATGGACGTAGCTGCTGAGTCTTAAAGGTTAAGTGCTAGTCACCTGTATTCTTTTCAAAGGCCAGCAGGGGGCGACATTCCTGGTTGCAAGAAGAAGTCAGACTGTATAGAAGTCTATGAGAAAATGACCTCACTTCTCCTTTAACCTGTTAGCTCAGTAAACATCTTGCTCATGCGTTTACTGTCTCAGTTGCTAGTTTGCCATCCAGGCTGCACATCCAGACCCACCAACACCGTCTGAACGCACACGAGTCTCCACAGTCTGAACTATTGATCATATATATTATATTTGTTAGTTATCCTACACTGTATCATACTATTATTATTATTATTTATGGTTATTATATATTATAGTATATATTGTATTTTATATATTTATAACTATTTCTTTATTTAGATTATTTATATTTCTCATATATCCACAGTGTTCTTACCTCAACAATGCAGTATATTTATTCCACCGTGTGGCTGTTACTGTGCTCATTCCTGACTGCATAAACGTCCTACTGGCTCCTTTTGTAAATATATTTATATATTCTTATTTGTCTTTTTTAAACTTGTATTTTGCACCACTGGAGTTGTCTTTTAACTTCGTTGTACTCTGTGTATGATGACAATAAAAGCATTCTACTCTATTCTATTCTATTCTATTCTATTCTATTCGATTCTGTGACCACAGCGTGATGTTTGCTGTGTAAATGATGTTCCCCTTCAGACTAACACAGACCATAATGTGTTAGAACGAGGCCGCCTTGTGATGAACAGGTCGCTGCCGAACGTCCTGGTTTTCTCCAGCGAGAGCCAGAATGACAGCAGCCACAGCTCAGGATTCAAACCAGCAGTCCAGAAACCAATAGGTGGTGTCTCAGCTGCTACCTTCAGACCATCTGGGATCTGAATGCTTCAACCAGCTAAATGACGGTTGCAAAATTCACCTTCAGTGCCAGAGTTTTATTGTTTTTATGTTTTTACAGGTTTAATGTCCATAAAGATTCAGAGTATTTCTACAAGTGATTACAAGTACTTCTGTGATGCAGCAGTACAAAAACTGAACATAATGTTGGTGTCTGATTACTCAACGTGCAGCTTTAGGATGATTTTGGATGTTGGTCTGAGTTTCTCAAAGCGTGTTCGGATCCTAAACATAACCTGATAACCCTCAACAATAAAGTGACGGTGATGTGATAGACTCGTCATCAATACAAAAAGGTTTGATGAGTTCATTTAAATACATTTGATGCAAATCTCTCTAAAAGCAGGAAGTTCAGTTGCATGACCAAACCCCAGGCCCTGGGCTCATAGACAGCCCATCATATCCCTTTGGAGTGGAGCCTCGTGCACTTTGCTGTGCTCCCCATAGCGTCCGGTCTCCTGTCACCTCTACTGACCATCCGCCCTGCCGGCTGACAGACGTGACGTTGGGATGGAGATAACCCCAACACCTTCAGCCATGTGGTGGCTTCACCTGGTTGAACTCCAGGACGTACGTTCTGTCAAGGAGCGCTGATGCCGTCGTCCTAATTTGTTTTATTCATGTGGGCACATTTATTCACTTGGGAATGCTGTTCATTGATGCCTTATGCCCTGCTTTATTTATTGGATTATTTATGTATACATGCGTTTATATACTTAAAGTACATATACTTGTTTAACACTTATTTTTATTTTATTTTTTATTTTTATTTTATTGAAACTTGATGCTGGTACAAAACACATTTCACTGCACAGTGTATAAATGTGTATGTGACAAATAAAGCTGATCTTGACTCTTGAATCTTCTCTTATCGGTAAAGTTGTTGATAAATTAGTTAAAGTGGTGAAATTAAAATCTAACATTTTATGAAAAACAGGTCAATAAATGATGAATAAAGATCAACATCGTGTGAAATGACACATCGTATAAATGTTTAGCTGCTTGGTGAGCAGCGCAGGCCCTCAGTGCGCAGCGGACAGAAGTGTAACTGCGCCATCTTGTGTCCTGGACGCGCCATAATCACCGCAGTACGTCACTTCCTGTTTAAACATGGCGGCGCTCTGACAAATGTGACATTTGTGCTGCTGCTGAAAACAAACAGCGACCACCGCCCGGTACAGCTCCTGCGCCGCGGACAGACCAGAGGTAGCACCTGTGAGTATTTCTCTTCGTCTACAGGACGTGTTCCGCTTCGTTTCTCTGAACTCTTAAACCGGGAGACGCAGTTAGCCGTTAGCCGTTAGCCGTTAGCATTTAGCATCCTCCAGAGACATGCTGGTTTATCTGGACTGAAGGTCTAACAGCAGCAGACTGGTTTCAACGTGTTTTGCTCTTTTGATTGCAGGATTTTCCAGCCGACAACATGGTGCATTTATGTGAGTATTCCTGTTATGTGGAAAAGTGCAGCTATAAGATAAGATCAGCTTTTATTTATCTGACAGTAGAGAAACTCACAGTGTTGTCAGCAGCAGTTCACACAGATACACACAGACTGGACAGAAACAATGAAATATAAGAAAGAGTGCAAACATAAGTATAAAAACACACACATATAAAACAGAATAGTGCAAGCACAGAATATAGAAATGAGGGTATTAAAGACATAGAAAATAAAGAATAGAGGTGTAATAATAATATAATAATAATAAACAGTGCAAATGCAAACATATACATACCTACATGTCATGTAATAGTGCAAAAAACCAGTGTGACAGAAGTGATTATTTCTAAGTATAAATATGAGTATTTATTGGTACATTAAGATGGTGCACGTTGTTGGTCTACTGGGAGCGGAGCTGGTGGAGAGTCTCACAGCAGATCCCTCTGTGGGACGGCGTGGGTGAAGAAGCCTGGCACCGATGGAGCTGTCCACGGCTCTCACAGTCCCATGTAGAGGGTGGGAGATGTTCTCACCCAGTAGACTGAATGCGTCTGTCTGGAAAGAAGGAATCATTCTAGACTGAGAGGAGAGCTCATCTGCACACAAGATAATATATATTAATATATTTTTTTAAGTTTAAAAAGGTCATTTGGAAACTTTCTCCAACGGTGTAACTGGCAAATTCATCCAGTTCATCTTTTTTTTTTTTTTGTTTAGATGGCATCCAGATGTGTCCTCGACATACAGAGCTGTGTGGTGCTGGTTTGAGACCAGTCAGACCAGTCAGACGAACCAGCTGGTGTGTTGGTGGCTGTACTTAGGCACCGGTTTCTGGTCAACGTCTTTTCTGAAGCCAGAATATTTTCATCCAACTGAGGCTGTGCTTCTTTTCTCTGTGTTTCCCGCTCATTTGGCTCTGCACATGTGGTGTCTGTAAATGTAGTTCAACAAAAAAAAAACCCAAACCAGGTGTGTCCTGTGAGAGCCCTGACATCAGCTCAGTTATGTTCTATCAGGCAGGCGTCTCTTCTGCTTTAGTCATGAACACTAGAACTGTGCAAGGTTTCGTTTAAAGCTGCTGAACAGTCGTAGCATCGTGTGTCTGAGTTTATCTGAGTCACTTCCTGTCCATCACTGATGTTCCCATTAGACACAATCACTGACAAAACGTTGTCAGACTTTTGTGTCCCAGTGCTTTAACACAAACATGTAGGTACCTGATAACTACAAAATACAGAGACTGTCATTTACATCTCCTTTATGTTTTCCCGTGTTTCTGGTTTCCCCGCTGTACCTTTGGTGCTGGTCAGTATGTACCTGATTGAACATTACGATGTGAGCCGTGGGCTGCGTCACCGAATAAAGACGATACGGAACGACTCGCTTCACATTTGGCACAAAGAGCAGCTTCCTCACATGCTGCTTTCCAAACAGTGAAAGAAATGTGTTCAGTGCTTCAGTAGAGCTGCTGTTGGCTGAAGATGACTGTTGAGCTCCAGCCTACAGGTCACACTGACTCATGTTGTGTTATTCTTGTTTTTCAAGTATTTACTTAACTAATGAAAATCACAGGTTCAGATCATGCGCCATAACACACACTGAATTAAAAATAAAACAGTTAAAATCCTGTCATTTCATCAGCCGTACTAGACAACATTTAAATTCTTTCTAGATGAAGCTGGTGTAGCGGTTTATAAATGAACAACAGTAAGATTTTAATCTGCTTCTATTTTACTTCCTTGTATTATTTTGTGTACTTGTGCTATCAGTCAGGTGTATACTGGCTACAAGGAAGTCTTTTTCTTTTCCTCTCTTTGCTTCTTGTGCTCATTTCCTTCTGCAGCATCGTTTCTCCTGAAGCAGTACCACGGAGGCCACATCGTCATCCGATTGGCTCTCGCCGGCCACAGACAGGCCAACAGGCCCTTCTACCGCATCGTGGCGGCTTACAACAAAAGGGCCAGAGACGGTAAATACATCGAGCAGCTGGGCACCTACGACCCGCTGCCCAACGTCCACAACGAGAAGCTCGTCAGTTTCAACTTCGACCGGATCAAGTACTGGATCGGTTGCGGGGCGCACCCTTCAGACCCGGTGGCCAAGCTCCTCGGTGTGTGTTCACTACATGAGCTTCTCTTTTTAAATCTAAATCAACATTGCACAATTTTATTGCGGGCTGTCGACAGAATTGTTCTGCTCATGTAATTTGTTTAATCAAGGAGTTCCATCCCTTTTACAAGCTCCTTCCCCTTTTAGGCAACATTCACGTAGAGATATACTTATCTGGATCGACTGTTCTTTAAAATCTTTTGTTTGTTTTGTACATAATAGTCTGTTAATAATTATGATTCCTGTCTTATTGCACATTCACTGTGACCTCAAGCGCCTCGTTAAAGCACCTCGTTAAAGCAAACAGACAGATAAAGCAGAATAACGAGCTGCTGATCATTACAGGTACTTAGGAGGCCAGCAAGGACTTTGTGAACGTGATGATTTATCAGATCCTGAAGTCACAGCAGATGTTGGCACCTCCAGGCTTGCTGTGAAATATATGCATGTTATATGTTCTCCTTTGTGCCGTTCTGCAGGGCTGGCAGGATTCTTCCCTCTGCATCCGATGACCATAACCGAGGTCGAGCGTCGAAGAGCCCAAACACAGCAGACGCAAGCAGCAGCAGAGGAAACGGTGGAGGAAGGACAGAAGCAGGCTGAAGTGTGAGAGCTCCAGCTGTGGACTCTGTGAGACTGTCCCCTTCTACGAAACGTCAGCTGTTTGGAAAGAGGTGGATTTGTGTCCAGCTTGTTGGGTGGGCTGCCCACCAGCATCAGATGTGGCGTGTTGGAGTTGCTTCAAGAGCCTCTGAACAGTTTGTTGTCCAGTTGATGCTTTAACGTCTACGTGGTTCTGAGTTTTATGCTGTTTATGTGATTAAAGTATTTCACGATATCTTTGCTTCTGTTTTGGGTTAATTTGCAGATTGATTCTATGATTCTCTGTCTTACTTTTCCAAGACGTCTACAGACCACCCACCGTTCATTTAGCTCCCTCCTCCTCTTGTCAGGTGTCGCTCTTCTTTTGACCTTCATACACCTGACTGACCCCGTAGGAAACGTGTGACGGCATTGCACATAGATCTAAAGCTGGCGGCTTTGTCGATGTGTTTGCTGGTAACCTTGACAGCTTTTAATGCGTTTTCAGTTGAACAGAAATGTCTCCACCTTGCTTACACTGAACTGGGAACTTACCGCTCACTGACAGGAGTATGTTGAATGGAAAGTACATCTGTTTCTCTGTCAAAGGAAACAGCTCGTAATAGTTTTTCTCTTAGTCGAGTCAATATTTGCAGAACATGTATTCTCAAGGTTGTGCCTCAAGCACTGACTTGTATTGATAACTACCAAAATAGACACTAAGTCGACCGTTATGAATAGATCTGACGTGGTTAGGGCAGAAAAACAAACCTGATCTCAGAGGGATAATGACCTGGTTCTGTTTTTACAAGTGTTTATCATCACATAAAAACCTCATAAACCTGATAGTGTTTTGCTAAATAAAATACCTGCACACACACTGTAAATATATTTCCACCCTGAATTCCTCCTCCTGTGTCCAGACAAGGGACCGCGACCCAAATCGTTTAATGAAATGTTAATTGAAGTGAGAAACCAGTCAGATTTAGAGTCTGACTCTCAGACCAGCATATATAAACTGCTGTCAGGTACTCGAACGTGAACAGCTTAAGATTGCACCACAAGTGTGGTTTGATAAGATTAATCTGAGCCAAGATACACCTGACAACACCCAGGTGTCCATAAGGAAGTCCAGCAAAACATAAAAACACGGCCCATATCGTGTCATTTGTTTTTTTTTTAGGGCTGTGGCACAATCGGCGCTTTGATTGTTGAGCTGTTCCTGGAGGAAATACATAAAATCAAATCAAATAAAGCAGAATATGACCTGCAGGTTTATTGAGGATAGTAACCCACACACATCATCAGGGTTATGCATTCAAGAACATTCTAGAGAAAATATTATTTTTCCAAAGAAGAGAAAAAGAATCATCGTTATGGAATTTTTACGGACTAACATGACGCAGTTACCAGGAAATACTTTTCTGTTCCTGAAATGATTGTGTGACAAACAAACAGAGGCGTGGAGCACTTGACCCAAACCTCTGGTGACCTCAAGATCAAAACACATACTTGTGTTTGACCTTGTCACAACTCATTTATTTCCGGTGCTGCTCTGCTTATCAATCGTGCAGTCTATTTATAGACGACTATTCAGGTCAGTTCATATCCATAATGTCAGTATGTTATCAGTGGAACCAGCCTTCAGTCAGAGTAATGATTCTCCATCACGTCCAGCTGGAGGCCACAACAAGTACATGCAGGATTAAAATGAATATCTTTGACTGACACAGAACAACTAACATAACTGAGACTTCTTTGCTGTCATTGCACAAAAACACAACAGTGAATCCGGCAACGAAATGTTGTTGCTTGTCAACTGGAGTACACAGAACCGGAGCTTGTGAGGCATAATAATAATATAAGTAAACTCTAGTGTACAAAGGGGCTGCAGGTGTCTCAGTGGTTAGCACTGTTAGTGCCTCACAGCTGGAAGGTCGCCGGTTCTGGTCCCGGTGAGGACACCCGGGATCTTTCTGCGTGGAGTCTCCATGTTCTCCCCGTGCAGCGTGGGTTCTCTCCGGGTTCTCCGGCTTCCTCCCACAGTCCAGAAACATGCTGAGGTTAATTGGTGATTGTAAATTGTCCGTAGGTGTGAATGTGAGTGTGCTTGGTTGTCTGTCTCTAAGTGTAGCCCTGTGATAGACTGGTTACCTGTCCAGGTGAACCTGCCTTCACCCTGAGTCAGCTGGGATAGACTCCGCCCCCCATGACCCTGGTGAGGATTAAGGTGTAGAGATGATGGATGGATGGAATTTACACGATGGATTAACTATTTGCTGTTGATTTTATTCCACTATTTCATTCCACACCACTGAGAGATGAACAGAACCAGGATATTGGACCCTCTCAGCGCTACGAGGCACTTGATCAACAGAGTTGTGTAGAAACACAGACAGCACACGAGTGGCCTGAGGGTCTAACAGAAGGTGTCCTGCTCTATTTTTATTTTTTTTAAACATCCACTGACACAAAATTAGAAAATCAACTTCACATAAAATGCAGTTTCACTCTGAGTAAAGACTTTTATTTCATTAACTGTGGCGCTATGGGTCACTGAGAGTGTGAACAGCAGGTGTGTGACAGGTGTGTGTTCAACATCTCTGCTGCCACTGACACTGATTAATGGTTTATAAAGGGCCGTTAGGTAATATCTCTTTTCTTGCTAAAGCGAACCCCACCTCGTCCACTTACACCTCAGTTCTCGTCCACTTCAGCGTCACTGTCCACAGTAATGTACAGGGTGTGAGTGTGCCTTCACAGTTTACTGCAGCGCCACGCCACAATGCATTCGATGTTTGCACAGGGAGGGCAGAATATCAGGAACAACCTCAGTTTACAAGTTGATCATTGATGACACATAAAAGATCTGATTCTGATAGACAAGTGATTATACTGTTCGCAGCTGCACACGAGAACTTCACCGCCAGCTGACAGACAGCCACGGAGGGATATCTTTAAGTTTACTGTGAGAGCTGTGTGTATGTTCATGGAGTGAAAAACAGCTTTACATCTCTCGGATGATTATCTGAAGGCAGAGGAACATGAAAAAGTGGATTTATCCAGGATCCCGTAGTTGGAAGAGGCTCGCCGCCTTTCTGATCATCCTTCCTTTGGTCATCATCGTGCTGATTGCACTGTGTGTGTTTTTTACACAAAAAACAGGTAAGTCTGTGATTTCCGTCATTCTTTATTACATTACCAGCTGCGCTCACTGATAATTACTGTGTGTGTAACCCTGTGACCATTTGGCAGTGTTTTTATTGTCATTAAACATGACATGGACATTAGGTTCAGTTTAATAACTTTAGTCATCACAATGCCTCAGGAATAAATGCAGTTCATACTTATTTGACCCTCTCTTATTTTGTACTCGATGTAGATCTTATTTAGGATGTAAAGAAAAACATGTGGGTGCATTTTAGGAAGCTTTTGTTCACAATTCTGTGTAAATCCAATCCATCCTTTAGCAGTCAGCTCATTTTTTAAAACTCATATTCACTCAGCACTGGACTGTATTTCTTTCATGGGTGAAGACTTGATTCAAATTCAATGAAAGTTCAATAAAATATATTTCACAGAAAAGGAAATAGTTTATACTCACTGTAGACTGATTGACATATTCAGTTAATAATTAAATGTCCTACATCCTTCACCTCTGTTCATACGGCTCTGTGGAGGTCACTGGACAGCAGATTATAACTCTTTGAAGGCATTCTGTTTTAGCTTTACTTCGATGTTAGCAGCGTTATTCTGCTAAATCACACAACTTTGATTGAGCTTCAGATGATTTTCCCTTTTACGGTTAACACTCTGGGTTCAGAGGCAGCAAAGCCACGATGCTTCCTCCTCCGACCTTTGAGATGACGTTTTCATGTTGGTATGCAATGCCCCGTTAATGCGCATTCACTGATTGTTCCAGAAACCTCAAAACTGTTTTAAACAAATAATAGATTCTTGCTCTTAAGTCTTCTGAGATCTCTTTTTGTGAAACAAGGTTCATCCCAGCAAATGTTATTAGTAAATGGCAAACCAAAAGAGACGTCTTGTCCTAGAGCTGTTTGACTTCTGTCGCTCTGTGTTTGCTCTTAAATAGTTTTTGTTAATCTCACGAGCCTTGAGGTTCACTTTATCCAGCCAGCTAGTACACTGTGAATGTAACCTTAATAATATAATATAATATAATATAATATAATATAATATAATATAATATAATATAATATAATATAATATAATAATAATATATATAATAATAATAATATATAATATAATAATGTAACCCTAACCCTTTCATTTCATTCATTCATTCAAAATGGGACAGAAAACAAACACAAAAAACAAGAAAGTCATTTTGTCAGATGTCAGTTTACATAAATCATTTCTTGTTCTTCACTGTAGTTGAGCAGAAAATGAAAATCCTACCATACTTTAAGACACATTTATACATAAAAACAAAACTACAGATCATCCTGACAGGGTTCACTTGGTTTCCTTGACAGAGTTTACTAAAATTTTGAAGTTTGATTTAACTGGCTTCTAAGTGCATTGGCCAACATTTTTCACGAACGAATGTTATCTCTTTTGACAGGAAATCAAAATGCAAAACAAACTCAACCGGATGAACTGCGGCAGAAAACCCAGAGAGTGGACAACCATGAACTAAAATATCTATCAAACATAAACATGACAAAATCTGAACTGTCAGAGGTTTTGGATGATAAAACTCAACAATCTGTCAGTGAATCACTGGAATCGAAACAAAGGTCAACTTCACGCAATCCTGAAACAGAAGCAACAAGTTCTCCGACATCT